AGGGTGGAGGCCATTGCTGTTAGGGTGGAGGCCATTGCTGTTAGGGTGGAGTCCATTGCTAATAGGGTGAAGGCCATTGCTATTAGGATCTATTAGGGTGAGGCCACCTGTTTTCTCCCGGAATGCCTGACCCCGTGATGCCTGGAGTCTGCCTGGAGCGCTTCGGAGCCCCGGGTGGCTATCCATACATCCACCCTTGATCGAGTGGAGCTACAAGGCGTGCTAAATGGGTAGCATAGGCTATCCATAGGCTTGTATTCTTCCGAGCGATCTGAATGATCTGAATCAAAATCTGATCTTGAAAGAGGCCTCACCAAGACCACCTTTTTAAGAGTCCGATCGGACCGCGCGGAGCGTGCGACGAGATGTACCGTGGACCGTGGATGAATGGGGAGATGAGAAGGCCTTGGCCTTCCATCTCATTCCACCTTCACGGTGGGTCTTTTCACGAACTTTCTGGTGTGGCTGTGTTCAGAGGCTTATGCCCTGAGATGCCTCTTGAGGCCTGCAGAAAGAAAACATGGAGCCAGGGTTCGCGGTGGGGGGATGAGCCGAAAAAGCGGGTCTTCGGCGGAGACATGGGCTTTTTGGACCATGAGAGGGCTGCGCGCGGTGGCAACGCTTGCGGAGTTGGCAGCCTGGTGTGGCAGCCTGGCCTCAGTTGGGGTTCTTCTCCGCGAATGGAGGCTGTTCGGGGGTTTTCGGGGTCAGTCCTATTCTTGCGCCGCGGAGTTCCATTATGAGACTCATTTGTGTGCAGAATAATGAGGAGGTAGGGCCCCCGGTAGGGCTCAGGAGCCCTGCACAAACCAGCATCGATGATGCTTAAGAACTCTTGGTGAGTTTGTAATTATATACTTGAACAGCTCCACACCTAGCCCCAAGAAACCATAACTGTCATATTACATTCTTCCGGCAAAGGGATTCTTTAGAGAGCTGCAAAGTCCATGGCCGCTGGAAACAGCTGGACCCGTCCGCAGCCAATTGGCCCAAAGAGCGCCGCCGCCTGGATGGCACGCGGATCTGGCGGTAAGCATAACAAGCTATAGCTTATGCACCTCGAATACGGAGCTAACAGACACCAACCAACCAAGACAGATGGAGAATGTAGAGAAAGGCATGCATCTATCTGTCCCTCTGATATAACATGTGGATAAGAGGGCAACAGGCTTAATTTCTGCAAGTATCATCTGCCCAACTTGGGGGACCACGAATTATACCCGCCAGCTATAGGTTATAGGATGTTATAGGTATCTCAATCCATTTTTGGCCTGTGCCAAGCCAACTCCTCCCTCAGATTTCCACATCAAGCTGCAGAACCCGAAGAACCTCGAAGAACCCTCCGGTCCGGTCCGGCGAACGACCGGACCGTCGCGGTGGGCGTGTGTTCGTCGACCGCTGGACGGTTGCCCATGGTGATGCACTTTGAATATCCGATCCACTTGGGAATCGCCTACCTCTTCCTCATAGGCTTGGAAAGCGATCGGAGGGGAGTCCGGTGGGAGATGCGCACTCGGGGCGTGGACTTGGACGGTGCCTTATTGGACGTGCACGGTGCGACCGGTGCGACGGTGCGGCTTCTACAGGGACTCTGGAGAGATGGACCACACACCCGCCCGGAGCGGGCCCCGGGCCCTGCAAAGGGCAGTTTTGTTGCAGACATTCGGCTAGTGGAGAGCTGCTTCCGTCCGATGCCCGGACAGAACCGCACGTTTTGGGACTCGTGACCGAGCCTGGGTTAGTAAAGATTCCACTTCTTTGGGGGGTCCAAAGCACGAGTCATGGTGCATGGTGCATGTCATGGACTTCCAGGGTTGTTCTTCCCCGCGTGACGACGGAGGCTACTTGTGGAGCCGCTGCTTCCGCGCGCTGAACCTGCCCGGCGCGGTGGGGATCATCGCTCCTCGGGTTTCGACGGGCCTCCTCTGGGTTCGGTCTCCGGAGGTGGAACGCCTCGGAAACGGGCCCGGTCCGTTCTAGAGTGGGCGGGATGGAAGGAAGATGTACCGGTGGACAAGGCCACCGCCTTGTTTGGAATTCAATCGAATGGGACTGTAGCTGGAACATCAAGAAAGGATAAAGTACTGTAGTTTCACTGGGTGACCCTGACAGTACTTAGTACTTTTTTTTCCCCTTAGCTTTGTGTGAACCAAAGCTTCAGAATTGTCCGTGGATCCCCAAGTCCAACAACAAACGGAAGACGTTCGGTCAGCGGCACAGCGGCACTCTAAGAGAGACGTGACAGCCATGATTCTGCAGCACTAGGTCAGCGGCTTCATTTTTTCGCACTTCATCCAGTCGGATTTATTGCAGGCGGGTGGAAAATATGGGTGACGAGCAAAGAAAAGGGAACACATCTGGGGCGTTTTTGGTCGGCTCATGGTGTCTCTTTTCTTTCTCTTCGGGTGGGGCGTGTACGGAAGAACGGAAGAACATTCCGGGGTCTTAAGAGGCTTTCTTAAGGGTCTTAAGTTAAGAGGCTTTCCTATAATGATAATGATTATAATATCTCTCAACTCTCAACTTTTGTTGGATGCTGTTGCGGTTCTGAACGTCCAGAATTGCCTCATGGCACATAATCACTCCGCTCGGTCAGACGTGGATCATCGCCTGAGTCTCAGTTTTATCAAAAGGGAGAGTTTCGGGGGAAGAAGGGGTGTCTGTGATGTTCCAGTATTTTCCAGGATCCTTTCCATGTCCCAGACCATACACTATATGGAATACATGTCTACATTCGGGTGGTTTACTAACTCAATGTGGGCATACAAACTATACATGGACTGTCTGGGTGTGAGTTCGATGTCGGATCCTCTTTTGGGTCTTAGGACGGAAAAGGCGGTTCTTAGCGATCGGATGCTAGGCCACTGAAGAGATATATGGTTTCGAGCCAATCACGAAAGGCGTTTGCTTTTCAGCCCAACCCCCCTCAACCACCCGGGCGATGTTGAGAGCTTAAGGCCGCCACGCTACTCTCATCGGGTCTCACCCGGACCCGGTGGGCCGCTCTTCCGGGAGAGGAAGACCCGGAGCCGGCCCAAGAAACCTCCGGTCTCTCGCCTCGGGGGCTCCCAAGGACCCACCCTGTCTTTTGTACCCTGGGAAGTCCAGTCGACCATGTTTCAAATGGGAACGATCTGGTGACTTGTAGTGTAAAACCCGATGGTAAAACCATGGTGCTTCGGGATGACCCGGCGATTAAAACCCATGGTGGGCCACGACTTCTAGGGTGTCAAAAGCAGTCCTGTCTCGTGTCCTCCGGTGTCCTCCAGTGGCCTCCAGTGGCCTCGGTGCCGAGACCGACCGTGCGGGGAACCCGTGCGGGTTCCGTGCGTTCCCGCGCCAGGGCCGAGACCATCTGCAGAGCTTGGCCTTCTTCCTGGTGCTGCTCACCGCGGGCTTCGACTCTCGGCACGAAAAGAGAGGAGCCTCCTTAACCGCTCAGAGGCGATTTTTTAATTGATTTTTAGACACCTCTTGGAAGGTCGTGGCAGATGGTTGGTGGGTTGGATGCAAGTTTGGCTCGATGCTGGACATTCTTGGATTTATGGGTTTGTATTTTGATCGGGAAACCGCCGACAAATGGGTTGCGATCTATATTCCTGCCGGGAGTCTGCCTATTCTAAGACGCACCCATATGGCACAAACATGCTCAAGTATAGATGGGGGTCCCACAGTCGTTTGTTCTACGTCAGGATGTCGGGATGCCGACCAGGTCACCCAACGTGAAAGGGGGGACCTGAGGACCTGACCCTGACAAACCTGGAACCACCCCGTTGGTCGCGCCTGGTGCTTGGAGCTCCGCTCGGAGTCTCCCGCGGGCCGTGGGGTCGGAGGGGCTCGGCTCGGCTCGGGAGGGGCAGGTCTTGGGGATGGAAAACACTTAAGGTGTGTCTTTCTAAATATATAATGTTTATGTAATATTTATTACCATCATGTTTATAAATATAATGCATATAACATATTGTGGTTTTTATGTTTTTTTTTTTTTTTCCGGGTCTGCTTCCTAAAGTGGATTGCCGATTTAGGAGATCTCCATGGACGAGTTGAAGTTGGAGACCTTTGCTCCTTGGACGTCGCGGTTTGGGGCGGCGGCCACGTCGGCACGAGGGAGATCACGTGTCGGCCCGGGGAGCGTGCAATGCCGGAGGAGCTCAACACACTTGCTTTTTTGCATGTCCTGGTCCTGGTTTGGCAATCCTTGCCAAGATTCCAACGTGTTACAACTCACCCCTGTCAGCAGCACCTGTACGCTTGGTGGTTGGGCGTGGAGGTGGATGACGGAGGGGCGCTGGCGATGTGGAAGTTCGCCCATATTGGCCGAATGGCTGGCGGGCTGGTTCTCGTGTTTTTCTTCGGTCGTGCTGGAGCTCTAGGATTCCAGTGTTGATGGCGGCGAACGAACCTATGTAATGAAGGCAAGCATAGCGGTGGTGGCGCTGTGCTGTTGTCAGTTGCTTGCGTTTGATGAGCTGAGTTTGATGTGAGTGGGCCGCCCAGGAGGTAATAATAACCATGAGTATATGGGATGGAAGAGTATGGCGACGTGATCCTATGTATAAACAGCGCTGATTCCAGTTTGGAAAGCCATTGGAACTGCCTTATGTGCAATTCCCATTGGGCGTGCAGTGAGATAGTCGAATGCGAAAGTGTCCTGGCCAGCGCGGGTGGGTACACGGCTCAAAACATACACGGCCGGAGCATGCCGGTTCTTTGTGCTGACATGCATTGCCCAAAGCCAGTGGGGTGTTGGGAGGCCAGTGGGTGCTCTTGATCTATGAGGTGACGGCCGTTGTTCGTTGCCGGCGCGCCAGCCAAGCAGCAAGGCAGCAAGGCCCTTTGCAAGATGCGCGTGTGATTGCAGAAAGGTCCCTGGAGGCTGATCTGGAGGCCGGTGCTTGGGGGAGCTGCGAAGCCACATGTGATCGAGTGATAGATGTTTGCTGGACATGACGAACGCTCCTTCCAATTAAAGGAACCATCACTATTAAAGGAGGCATTCTGTTTAGGTACCCCTGTGTAGGCCCTCCCTGTTCTATGTTTTGCTTTGTGCACAGAAGCCGGTGCACGGGCATAACAAGTTATCCATGGGCAGCACCAGCTCGGTGATTTCGGACACTGCCTTGATAAGAGCATGCGTTTGGTTGGTTTGCTTCTCGTTTTGCTGCTGGGCTTTAGACTGGAACTCGAATAGTGATGGCTGCCCCTGTGCCACCGTAAGCGTTGTCGCGTTCAGCTGTGCTTGAATGTCATGGATAGCCTGGGATTGGAGTAGGGGCGCGGTGAAGCTTGCGCTGGATACATTTTTTGACGGGCATATGATCGTGGGCATTGTGAGTTGCCAAGTATAGGGACGCAGGGCTATATGCGATACGCCTGTTGTGCGCACGTGGAATATGGAATGGCAGTGTGCTTTGTGGAGCTGCGTCGCAGTAGACAAATCACACCCATCTTGGATGTGTTTGAAGGACTGTATGATATCATTGCGGAACCCTGGTTTGAGGATTTCCTCCTTGGATCTTCTTGGATGAACATTTTTGTGAAGCAATCCAATATATTCCAGGCGCTTACGCAGTTGAGCGTGTGCACTTTGTGTGAGGCCAAAGTTATATAAATCAAAAACAGCGGTGGACAGTGCGGCCTCCATGGATGAACTACTTGTGACCCACATATGTGTGTATGAAGCTGTTGAACTAGATTCTTTTCTGTATCGCGTTGCGTGCGTAGATAGCGACACTATGCAGGTGAATGGCAGTGCGCCTTTGGTGCAGTTAGATGGGTATAGCACCGACCAACTGCTTGCTTCCCCCGACCACAAGCAGCACTCAGGTCTTTGCGCTCTTCCCGGTGACCCTGGAGCTCGTGGGCATTAGTGTCACTTGGCGAACCGCGTGGCGAAGGGTGGGGGCTTCGAAAAGAGGAGACCAGCCACCGGGGAGGGGGCCAGAAGCACCAAAGACCAGGCTTTCCCCGAACTCAGAAGCATGTCCAGAATCCTTACTTTGAGGCTGCTGGTCTACACTGCACCGGGCAGTCCACCAGAAGGAACCTCCGTTTGCATAAGGTCTTGCACAGGGTTGGACGGTCGGGCTTGGACGGTCTCCGGTTTTCCTCTCCACTGATCCCAAGATCTGTGGGTGAATGGATGAACCTTGAACAGAAGGCCGGTGGGGGTCTCCTATGGTCTCCTGATTCCTGGGGCGACGGTGCTTCTTCCCCCGAGCATCGACCCTTTTTCCTACCCCGTGCCTTTGGGGCGCGCCACCTCCCGGGTTCGGCGCGGCTGTAGGGCTATGCGGTGGGCGTCCTCGAGTACGGCTGGATCGAAGGCTTGGTCTTGGGCACCACGCTGTGCTGCCGCCCGGTCCTGCGCACGGCGGTCTGGGTCGGGACCGGTGGGCGATCCTGCCTCACGAGATGGACCTGAAGCAGTTAGGTCTAGATCACCATGATCACCAGAGGTCTGCGGGAGTGTCGGGATTTTTGTGCTAGTTTGAGGTTTGGTGGGATGGGTGGAACTTCTTGTGCTGGTTCCCACCATGATCTTAGGCCCTGGATCTCGACCTTGCTCTCTCGCTCAGACATTCTCTCGCATGTGTTTCGTCTCCTGAGCCTATTGCCATCAAAAGTCTATAATACCATCTGTATATAATGTGTAAATGTGCACCTGCCTGAAAAAAAGAAAACAACGCGCCCCTCCTGCTAAGTCCGTTCTTTCTTTTTTCTCTCCATCCATGTCTGCCCGTATTAAACCTCGAACGTCGTTGTCGTCCAAGGTTTGGGCGATGGCTTGGTGATCCCCAAGATGGTGGAGCTGAAGAACGATGTTAGCTTCCAGAAGCTGGGCCTGCCAAGGCGAGGACCGGTGTCTTCACGAGACGAAGACGATGGAGGCCGTTGGGGAGAAAGAGAAGATAAGGACGAAACGGCTGGTGCAGAAGGCTACCACTCAGTTGGGTCTCCTTGAGTTGAAGTGAGAGACAGACTATCTATGATAGTAGTAGACAACTGGAGCGTGAAACATCCACATCAGGACCTAGTTTGCAGACTCCAAGCCTCAGCGCAGCTCTCGCTCGCTCTCCAACCTAGGGGATTCCAATGGAGACAACACCACATCGGGTTGTTTCTACCCGAACTCCGACCGGGGGGAGGAGGGCGGAAGGGGACATTTCCCTGATCTTCGGGGCTCTTTGTTTGGGGTTCACTTCCGCAGTCCCCCGTGGCTTCCGCCCCGCACTCTCCTCACGCACTCCAGCGGATCTGAAGAGACCTGGACTGCCGTGCTGGTGGGGACTCCACGTGATCGCAGGTTGGTCTTCACCTGGGCTCCTTTGGAGGACGCCCGCGCGTCGGACGGCACCCTTCTCCGCACCGGTGCGGAGGGTGGCGCGGAGGGTGTTGCGACCTCCCCGACCGATTTCGGGTCACTGGGTTAGGTTCGAATAGTCAGACTCAGACTGACCGACGTGGTGGGAAGCGGTTTTCTCCCCCTGGTGCCCCCCAAAGACGACGGGGAGGAGCAGGTGCAGCATGGTGAAGCAGAATGGAAAGGACGCCGAATCGGTCCGCGGGTTCTTTCGTTGGACATGCAGAGGAGAGTGAATTGAGGGATACGCCGCCTGGAACTTGGGGCATCTTCATAGTCTTGATCGGTCTCCAGGTCTCCACATATCCAATCGAGCTTGCTGAGAGGTGCCATGCGGCACCGCCATGCACGTCGCGCCCCATCCACGTGTGGGGGGAGTCACAATGGGATGTTTCAAGGTCGACGGTCGGAGAGAAGACGTTGAAAGGCCATCCAGCAGGCCCCTCCGCTCCTCGCGGGATGGTAGCGACCCGGAATTCTCCAGGCCTCCTACGTCCTGACGCTCTTCGGCATCATCCAGGGCTTGGCCGAGCCGGCGGAGCAGGACCATCTGGGCGTGAGGGTGAGGGGGTTGGCAGGATTTGGGGGTTGGGAGTCGGAATGTAGCACTCGGAACCCCAGGATACATGCTAATACATACCCGTATACTAACCATCTACAGATAACCTCCAAACATATAGGTGTATCTATGTTAATTGCTGGGCTTCTTGCTCAAATGCAGACCTTGGAAGCACTTGAGGGGCTTGGCCTTAAGTTGTTTTTGGATGTGTTTTGGCATTCTTTTTGCGTGAGTGTGTGATCAATGCGAACCGGAATGGCGCTTGACCATGGGTTTTCCTCAGACTTGCACGATGTATGTACATGTATGTACTGTTATGAGTTGACCAGGGCAACGCAAGCGAGCAAGGGTAGTCAGGCGTGAAACGAGGACAAAACCAAGTTTGCCAAGTAAGGTATAGCATAAGCCATGGCGAAGAAAATCTCAGCGCTGCAGCCAAGTGGTGAAGTCATGGTGCTTGAAGTCACGCCAGAGATGACAGGCCGGGAGCTTAAGAAGCAGATCAAGGAAGGGCAACCTTGGGATGAACTTACTTGCAAGACTACGTGTGTGGAAATCATTTTCAGAGACAACCAATTGCTGGTCAATGATGAGTTGGTCTTGGATGCCCTCGCCGCCGATGAGGTTGTGAGTGTCGTTTTCAGGCCAAACACGGTGAGATGCTCCCGCCAAGATGCGATCGCCAGTCTTGGCGGAGTCATTGATTTGGACATGTTGCTTACAGTCGAAGTCCCAAGCGATGAAACTCTGATTCAAGATGGTGCATTCTGTGGTTGCGGGAAATTGGCCAAGTTGACTATCCCGGACTCCGTGACCCGTATTGAAGAAAGTGCCTTTCGGGATTGCAACTCTTTGGTGAGTTTGATGCTCCCAAACTCAGTGACCCACATTGGGCACCGTGCCTTTGAAGATTGCAGCTCTTTGGTGCAATTGACCATCCCAGACTCAGTGATCCACATTGGGGCTTCTGCCTTTCAAAATTGCTTCTCTTTGGAGAACTTAGTCATCCCGAACTCAGTGCTCCGGATTGCACGTGGTGCCTTTCGGAATTGCAGCTCCTTGGTGCACTTGACCATCCCGAACTCTGTGACCGACATTGGGCATGATGCCTTTGAGAGTTGCAGCTCTTTGGCGGACTTGACCATCCCGGGCTCAGTGACCGACATTGGGGATTCCGCCTTTGCGGGTTGCAGCTCCTTGGTGCACTTGGCCATCCCGGACTCAGTCACCCACATTGGGGAAGGTGCCTTTGAGCATTGCAGCTCCTTGGTGGACTTGACCATCCCAGACTCAGTCACCCGGATCGAGTGTTCTACCTTTGAGGGCTGCACTGCCTTGGCAAACCTGACACTCCCAGGGTCGTTGACCCACATCAACGACAGCGCCCTTCGCAATTGTAGCTCTTTGGCGAACTTGATCATCCCCGACTCAGTGACCCTCATCGGGGATCGTGCTTTTGGGGGCTGCACCTCTTTGACTCACTTAACCATCCCCGACGGCGTAACGATCATATGGGGCTACGCCTTTGCAGACTGCAGCTCTTTGAAGAGCTTGACGCTGCCGGAATCTGTGACCTACATGGGGGACGGTGCTTTTCTGAACTGCAGCTCTTTGGAGAGCTTGGCCATCCCCGACACTGTGACCCAAATTGGGGACTTCGCCTTCGCGGGCTGCAGCTCCTTGGCCCACTTGACCATCCCAGACTCTGTGACGCGCCTGGGGGACGTTCGAAGGGTTCCTCCGACGGCGCCCAAAGGGAAAGGCTCTTTTGGAAAAGGCGGTTATTAGGATGCTCTGTCAGCAGCACAGGCACCACACCGAGGAAAAGGACGCGCGTTGACCTGCGGAAAAGGACGCGTCAGTCTCACCAGCTCAAGGCTCCCAGTCTCCAGCACCCGAGCTTTTGCCACGGTGGGTTTTCGGACATCCCCAACAAAGGTTGAAGAACCCTATAGACTATAGACTATCCCATAGGTACCCGAGTAGGGTCCTATAAGGTCATTAACCTCTCTTGGCCCTTATGATCAAATCTCTTTTGGAGGCTCTTGATAGACACCCCGAACCCTGTCGTGTGTGTGGTCTAATAGCATCACGAGCTGTCGGTCCTGGTGTGTAGGGCAGCCCCCCGGAAGGCCCTCCGCGACGCGGCCAGGAAGGCCAGGGCTCTATCGTGAATCTGGCGCCTCGGAGCTGCTGGGATGGGGGCTGCTGGGCAGGAGCCGACGCACCGTCAGGTGTGGACGTGTTGGAGGACGCCGCACACTTCGAAGAGAAGCGAAGTCGAATGAAGTCAGCACGGTGGAGCGGTGTGCTTGGTGGCCTGAAGACTGCCACCGGGTGTGTGTTTAGATGATCAGATTGTCTTGGCATGCCGTCGGTGGAGCGAGCTCCTGAGGTCTTTGCCAACATTGTGCGATTAGAAGCTTGGCTGCAGTTGAGGCTGCCTGGTCTCCCAACTGTGCTTCAGGTGGTGGAACGGTCGACAGGGAAGAATTCAGCCCTGTTTGTGGAATGTCGTGACCATCATTCAGGACCCCATCCACAGAACTTAGGGATGTGAAGGTTCTTGTTGGTGATTTGCCAGGTGGTTTGAAGCAGACCTGAAGCTGCTGACGGGGTCGGTCAAGACCCTCCAGGTCTTCGGAGTGCTTTCCATTGGTCACCCGGCCGGAGCACGTCAGGTGGCCACGCTGGGCTTTGGCTCGCTGATGGGCTGGGTGGCCGCGTACGTGGTGGTGCTGCGGCGTCAAGGCGGGGGCCGCCCCTTCCGTTGGAAAAGTAAAAGGGCTCCGGGATGGGGCGAGGGGCGGGGATGGGGGCGGTCGGAGTGCTGCTTTCGCAAGGTGGGTTCATCCCCGAGTGCGGGCCCCGGACCGTGCCGAACCAACGGGTCCATCCACTTGGCCACTTAGGTGGCCGAGCTCTGCCACGGGAGTCTTCCAGCACCCTCACTGCCAGGTCACCAGGCTACTGTTCAAGTCTCCAGCCACCATGTCCGAGACCTGGTGTTGGTTCGGTGCTCGATCCAAAGCGTCACATCCACTCGCCGGGGGGGGGGCTTAAGACATGTCATCAAAAGGAAGGACGTGGAACCCTGCGACTTTGGGCCTTCGAGCACCACCCAAGTCGGGTGGTGTATTAGGCCCCCTCCACCATGTACTTGACCCTCCAAGCACCACCCGAACTGGCTGGTGCCTTCTTTGCCCTTTTCATGCAATTTTCCTTTCCGCCCACCCCAAAGACCGGTGATCAGGTCTTCCGAGGCTCCCCCCCTCGGCCGAAGAACAAGGACACACCACCCACCGGACACGTCCAGCCCTCGGGGGACCTCTGCATCGGCCTCGGCGCTCGGGCGCGGCGCGGAACGGCGCCAGGGCCCGAGGGCTGGACGGTGTCCATGGTCTTCCGGACGCTGCAGCGAGTGCTCCGGCGCGAAGACCAGGAGCGGAGGGGGGAAAACGGAGGAAGCCGTGGGGGTCCGTTGGGTCCCAGGGGGGCCGATGCAGGGAGAACCACTATGGCTCAGCGGGTCACCCCTGGTATCCTTTGGGACATCTACGGCGAAGACAAACGTATATTATATATATACATATAAATAATACATGCAGTATTGGCATGTATACTGCATTGGATATGTTTTTTGGCACGGTGGTGGGGATCCGTGTGGCGGGAAGTGTTGAGACACAGTCAGATCGCCTGATCCATTCCGTGAAGGGCGTCTGCAAAGAATGGCGATGTGGGTTTGCAGAGGCGTTCAAGTCAAACCATGCCCGCAAAACATGTGGGTCAGTCAAATGGCCATGATTCATCTTTGCCAGCATCCGACTCTACAGGTTTTCGTCTAGAAGGTTGTTGGTCCCTAACAGGTCTCAATTGGTGACCTGTGAAGTCGGATGCTGGCGGATGATATTTGCTATGAATTTCACCTCTTCCAAACACTAGAAAACAGGCCCTGACTGCCAAAAACCGCTCCGAACCTCACCAGCGGACCGTGTCCTGGCTTGTGCCACGGGTCTCGACCACCTCGTGTTCCTTCGGTCCGGACACCACCTCGTCGCGGGTCTCGGTTCTCGGGGTCTCGGGCCAAAACCTTTGGATTCGGTGTTCGCCCGCTGGAGGCAGGCAGAGCAACAGGCAGTCTCAGATGTGGGATGCTGACAGGTGACAAAGAGCAGAAAGCAAAAACAGCGAGCAGCAAGAAGGTCCCATCCAGGTTTCTCAGCCATGGCACGTGAAATTTCAGCGCTGCAGCCAAGTGGTGAAGTCATGGTCCTTGAAGTGATGCCAGAGATGACAGGCTGGGAGCTGAAGCAGCAGATCAAAAGGAGACAGCTTTGGGACGAGCCCACTCGAACTAGCACAGGTGTGGAGATCATTTGTGATGACAACAAGCTGTTGGCCAATGACAAAACGATACTGGAAGCAGGAATTACTGGAGATACTGTTGTGGGTGTTGTTTTCAAACCCAACCTAGTGATATGCTCCAACCAAGATGCGATCACCCGTCATTGCGATGCCATCGACCCAGACCTGTTGCTTGCGGTCGAAGTCCCAAGTGATGACGCTCAGATTCAAGAACGTGCCTTTTCCAGTTGCCAGAGATTGGTGAAGTTGACCATCCCAGACTCAGTGACCCGCATTGAGGATGGTGCCTTTGAGAATTGCAGGTCACTGGCGAGTTTGACACTCCCGAACTCATTGACCTACATTGGGCAATATGCCTTTCGGTGTTGCCGCTCTTTGGTGTACTTGATCATCCCAGACTCAGTGATGTATATTTTGGATGGTGCCTTTGAGGAGTGCAGCTTTTTGACGAATTTGACCATGCCAAACTCACTGACTTGGATTGGAAATTCAGCCTTTCATAGTTGCAGATCTTTGAAGAACTTGACCATTCCGAGCTCTGTGATTAATTTTGGGGATAGTGCCTTTGAGGGTTGCAGCTCTTTGGCGAACTTGACCATCTGTAACTCAGTGCTCTATATTTCACATTTTGCCTTCCACAATTGCAGCTCTCTGGAGAACTTAGTCATCCCGAACTCAGTGACATACATTGGGGAACATGCCTTTGAGCATTGCCGCTCTTTGGTGCACCTGACCATCCCGGACTCAGTGACCTACATTGGGAGTTTTGCCTTTCAGAATTGCAGCTCTTTGGTGCACTTGACCATCCCAGACTGCTTGACCCACATTGGGACACAAGCCTTTGCAAATTGCAGCTGTTTGGCGAGCTTGATCATCCCCAGCTCATTGACCCACATTGTGGATTTGGCGTTCGGGGGTTGCAAATCCTTGGTGCACTTGACCATTCCAGACTCAGTGACCCACATTGGAAATGGTACCTTTGCAAATTGCAGCTCTTTGACGCACTTGACCATCCCAGACTCAGTGATCTACATTGGTGATTCTGCCTTTGCGGGTTGCAGCTCCTTGGCCAATTTGACCATCCCAGACTCAGTGACCTACATTGGAGAAGGTGCCTTTGAGCATTGCCGCTCTTTGGTGCACTTGACCATCCCGAACTCAGTGACGCACAGATTTAGTCTCATGCCGTTTGAGGGTTGCAGCTCATCGCCACATCGATCCTCCAATTTTTCATTTTGAGAATGCACATGTTTTTTCTCAGAGGATCTCAGGTCATACCTCTACACAGTGTGAGTGCGGCCGGTGGGCAAGCCTGGCCAAGACTCTTGACTCCGCCAATGGTGAAAAGGAGTCAACATGCATATATTTTCATGAGTGTGGCACCACCGTGACACCTGGATTAGCCCCGTTCCCGGAGAGCTCCATCCGAACGAACCATCCCACCCCACCCACCTTGCCGTCCTTGCCCGAGCTCCAGGAGAGGCCCCCGGAGCCGGAAGAGGATCCCCAAGGGCCCACGGAGGCGACTGGAGAGGATCTCTTCTTCTCGGGCAGCAACGTGGAGGCGGAGAGACGGATGGAAGAGAGAGAGAGAGTTTGGTGTGAGAAGATAGGTGATAGGTGACAGGTGTGAGTAGTTTATGGTTGCTTCTTTCTCCCACAGAGCGATGTGGGGTTTTCGGAGGTGGAGTTAAGTGGAAGAGGTGGGGGTGCGTGGTAACTTGGGGATGCGGCCCATACGGCACCCTCAAAGCTGGTGAGAGGCTCTTGCTACTAGTTGATGCCTGGGCCTTTGTAGGTCTCATGAACTATGGAAGCTTGCACTGCGGCTGAAACGTCTCTTCAACTCAGAGTTTCTTCTTGCTGCAGTCTGAGTCTGCACCAGTTTCACATCATGGCTTCTTTAACTGTTCAGCTTCTTCCATCATCCTGTGATTCTGCAGAAAGTCAAAAGAACACCTTGGAGTGACCCCGAACATCTGCAGAGCATGGCAGATACAATCAAAATCCTGCCAGAGACTTTCATCGTCAGCATCCTGCAACCGGAACCTTCAGTCATGGCCATTGTCGCGCCCATCCTGCCCGCCGGTACCCGCGGACCTGGCGCCGGGGGCCAGACCTGGACCCAGACCGTTCTTCCGGGACGGCCCGAACCGGTGCGGACGGAGGCGTACCTGCTGATCCTCTGCGTGGCGCTGGCGGGCTTCGGGCTCGGCGCCTCCGAGGGCCTCACGCCGGTGCCCATGCCCTTCAGCCGCTCGGAAGGGGTGTGAAGGGTGAGAAAGGCAGTTGGACGCCCCGGCAAGGGTAGTTCGGTGGGTAGGTGGCCTTGGTGAGGTGGATGCTTGTAGAGAAGAGATCAGAATCTCAACTGATATGAAGGGGAGGGTGTTTGAGATTGAATACCCACAGAGATGTTGTTCAATGTTTGGTTCTTGCAGAGGCCTTGGGGGTAAGTATTCCATGTTGAGTGTAAAGAAATCCATGTTGCAATACATCGCATAGAGTCCACGAGGCGGTGATTTGGAGGTCTAAAGCAGGTTACCCGAAAGGTCGTGCACCACGAGAGGGTGCTTAGTGGGCGCAAGCCCAATCTACACGGACCTCGACTCACTGCAGACCAAGACCTGGCGCCAAGGATTTTTGGGGCCGTTTCGGATAGGTACCTGCACCATCCAATGGAGAACTTTAAGCAGTGTAGGGTGTCCTGGTAGGTATTTCTCTGAAACACACCAGGTTCGCTGGTTCACTGCGGCAGGTGCTGGTTCACTCTTCCAACCGGAGCTGCTGGTGATCGTCATCGGTGCCCCAGTTGAAGGGAAGGGGAAACGGAAGAGGTTGAGTGGGTGCACGCCCCAGGGATTGCGGGAAGACTTGGGTTTTGGGTGGTGAGAGGAAATCGAATGTGGGAGACAATACATGGTATCGTTCTTGAACTGGGACTGTTGAGAGGGAGTTCTCCGAAACCACCCCACATTATCTGATGGTCCACCTCCGGAGGTGTTGCGTTGCTTCTTTTTGGGTGGTGACATGGAGCTTGCTGCTTGTGAAGTCACCCACCATATGGACGCTCGGCGGCGAGAGAGGGTGCCGCTGGTCTTCACGACTCTCCACCCGGTTGGAACGGCAGAGCCACGGCTTCACCGGCCCTTAGAGTGGCGCGGGCTCGCCGAGGCGCCTCGTTCGCCTACTTCGCGGGGCTCTACGACGATGAGAAGCTGGAGGTGTACCGGCAGGAGCTGCTGAAGGAGCCGGTTCTGATGCACCAGGGACTCACAAGGGATCTGCTTGGGACGCGCCATGGAGAAGGGCCCACAGTGGCGAGGTTGGAGAAGGGCGGTGGTGCGAACGGGCCAAAGGGCAATTGAAAGGGGTTCCTATAGCGATAGTGTCTTTTGCTTGGCAGAAGTGACCAGGCAAACAGGAAGGCGCCTGTTTTTTTTGGCAGAGATGACTGGCCAAAGCCAGCCAGACTGCCATGGGCATGGTTCGGTGGTGCCCAAATCTACCGTCTCTTCGGGCGATCTCCCCGTCTATCCGAAGGCCATACATGGCCTTTTTCCTATTGGTTAGTTGATTGATAGAGGGAATAATAACCCCAAGCAAACAACCGACAGGTAATAGGTATATACATGGTACCTGGCATGGACCCGTCTATTCTTCCCAAGATCGGGACATCGTGATGTCCCGTGGCTTTTGGTTCCGCAGAGCACGCCGAGAACGACCCGGACAGAGTTCACCGGTCGTCCCGCCGCGATCCGTACCGTTGCAGGAGGGCATGAAGGAGGGGTCAGAAGAGCTGGAACTCTTGCTGGAAGAGTTTGAAGAAAGGGAGTCCACCTTGGAAGGTGTCATGCAAGTAGCGCCTGGGGCTTTGGTTGATGCTTCGCTGGGGGCGCTGGGAGGGCGCGTGGGCGATGTTGGCCTGTGTGGCAAACAGTGGGGCCTTGGGATACGTCGCATATGGAGCAATATGGTCCAAACTTTCTGGGTGTGAATCCATATGAATCCATATTATAGAGAAATGTTCTTAGGGGAGAGCCTATAAAGAAGCTGCGCGATGGGTGTTCTGCGAGATTCTACCTCTGATTCTGTTGAGATTCTCAGATCAAGAAGGGGTTTTCAGGGCCACGGCCAATTTTTCGGGTCTGACCTTTCCAAGCGGGATGTAATGTGGTTTGGGTATGTCGCCGTACCTGATTGCTCCTACTATAGTACCTGCCGCATGTCGACCACCACCGGTCAAGACCGATGAGTCCGTGTTTGGAACCTCCGACGGGTCTATGGGGTCGACCCGTGTCCCGCCAAACACTCGGGTGAAGTCCATGGGCAGCTCCAAGACGCACTGCCAAAAACCCAGCCGTTGCCAGGCAACGCAGTACTTGCCGGTGTTTTTCACCCGGCAGGGTTTCAGGGTCTGGAGAAAAATCCATGCGCTATCCATGGTACCAGATGAAAAAGGAGGTCCAGAGATAAGCACTTTAAAAGGGGTCAGCAATGGAAGCCCCTACACAACTAAGCGACCTGCATTGGGACACCCCTTGAAGGTCCAGGAAGATCGCTTCCCTGGAGAAAAATCCCTGTGTCACTGGTGCGCAACTCTTTCAAAAAGCGGAAACGCCCTACCTCCCCACTAACGACCTGCAAACCGAGCTGGGGGGAGTTCCCTTGGCCCCCAGGTGGGTGGCGTTTGGACCTTTGGACAATTGGTCTTGTTCAGCATGCTGGGGAGCAAGACCGCCACTTGGCGCAGCACGCGCAAGACGCGCGTGAGGAACCGTTCGGGCCCTTTTCGATCGAACTCGGACCTGACCGGAGGGGGTTCGACCTTCAGCTCCACCCGCGCCCCTTTCAACCGCCACCCCCACAGCGCCACCGACCGGACCGGCCGGCGCGCGCGGTTCGTGTGGCCTGGACCTGGTCGTCGCGTGGTGGGGCTCCGCGTGGTGGGGCGCGGGCGTGCGAGAACGTGGCAAAGAACGTCTGTGGGGACGGTGCGTCGTCAGGATCTGGGCGTTTTTCAGCAGATCTTCTTCGTGCTGCCCATCATGGTGGTGGGCAAGCTCTGCCGCCTGCTGGGGGTGGTGTTAGCCACCTACGGCACCATCCATCGGCGAACCTGTGGTCCCGAGGTGCACCAGTGCGAGTGCGTGCGTCTGGGATGGCAGAAAGCTGGGAGAAGAGGTGGAGTGGGTGAAGAGGTCGGATTGTTGGATGATGAAGTGTGGCTCAAGGTGTCTCATGGGTGTCTTCATGGAAAGATCTGATCGGTGTCATGGTGTGTACCATTCTTGAACCGTACATGAACCCCTAGTTGAGCTACTGCATACCACCGGCCCCTTTGCAGCCCAAACTGGAGGACCAGCCCATGGCATATCCAGAAAATCAGAATGGCCAAGGAGGCTCAGGCGGCTCAGGACATCGTTTTACTCTGCGAGTCTTGGGACTTGCTGGGTGCTCTTCATATAGGTCAAGGGATCCTCCGTCTCCAGGGGCCCCCCCGGACCGTTTGGGGGTTCCGATCGCTCTGCCGACTTCCCCGTCTCCTGGGTGGTCTTCCGGATCGGTCCGGCCGTGGTGTCGTTCCCCAGTGAACGAGGCAAGTGAACCAGAGGACCTGCTGGCGCGACGCCCAGTTCTGCTTCCTCTCCACGCTGCCGAGGCTGCGGCTCCGCAGATGGGGCGGCAGGACTCGACAGCAGAGAGGTTTTTGCAGGGCTTTAGCGGGACAAGGCTCTGTGAGGGTACCAGGACTCGAGTCTTATTGATCTTATTGCAATAACATGTTCACACTATCGTTGAGACCTGACGCGTGGCCTCTTGAATGGAGGGACCTGTAGACTCAGTACTGATACAGGACACAGACTCTTGCACGTGGCTAGTTTCCGTCGTGTCAGAGTTTTCATCGCCTCCCTGAAGGGGTGTTGCGCACGAACAGATATATACTATTCTTTCTGTTTGGGATGGCTGTGTGGCAGGTTGTTTCTGCTTGGGGTGGGCGCTTTGCAAGACTTTTCTGCCGGACACAGACGATCTGGTCAGACTTACTCCTTCAATCTCCTTCACGTCTCACTTTTTCTCCTTTGGTGGACGATCTGGTCCTGCTGCGCCTCATAAGTCCCCAGCTGGAAGACAGAAGACTTTGAACGTGGGCAACCCCCGAACACCCTTGTTTTTGGTGTCACGTCCGTACGGGCCCCCGTGAATTTGCACGTTTTTGAAGCAGACAGGGTTCCAACAATCATTCAGGGGGGGGGGGGGGGGGGGTCAAATGACGTCGGTTCGTGTTTGGGTCGTTTCGTGTTTTCGTCGGTTCGTGGTTTCGTCGAGTCACGTGTTCGTCGGGCGTTGTTTTTTTGAGTTTGGCAGCCGGATGTCAGACAAGAGCACGCCGCAGACACCATCTCGGGCCGCTGGTTCGCGGGAGGACCCGATTCTCGGAGTAAAAGTAAAAGACATTTTTATGTGCTGAGATAGTGACCTCAGGCTTGCTTCGGAATGTTCGAGCAGGTTCTTTGATTGTTGTGTGCAGATGGAGCACTTGCATGGTCGGCCGCTGCTGCCAAGTACCCTTCGAAGCGCTTGGGTATGAAACACGTCAAGCATGTGAAGAGTCAATGGACTAAGAGGGCCAATGGTCAACTCGAAGCAGACTCAGATGATCTTTGGCACCCAGCAGCTAGATTGGCTGTGGTCGTGGATGAAGAAATTCATCTCGCCACCAAGCAAGAACCGGTCCAAAGGATTGGTGAACCCACGGCTGTGGAATAGAGTGTATCAGTGGGTGTATCGCAACCACACGCGAAACACCTGAGAGCGTGCCGACCACGGCTGAAAAAAGGCCACTATACAACTTTTTTTTCGACTTTTGAAGCGCTCGAAGCGCCATTTCGTACGGGCCTGCCCACACGAAGACGGGGGGCCCGTACGGACGTGAAACCTTGTTTTTTGATGGCTCAAGTGGTGATAGGAGTTGCAGCGTTGCATGTCATTTGCTCCAGCTACTTCGCTTAGGTTGGTGAAAGATAGGACCGCGGGTCGCACCTGTGGAAGGTTTTTCAACATGGACCCGAACAGGTCGTAGTTTGGTCGACAAATCCAGAGCAACATCTCGGAGACACATGGAGTAGCGTCCGATCGCTCCGTTCGTAGCGATGCCCGGGATGTTCCTAGTAGCGTCCTTGCTCCTAGTAGTAAGGCCAGGAGCTACTTGTAGCTTCTTGCCCTTTGCTGCTAGCTTCCACAGGTGCTCTTTTTCTCCCAGCCCGTTGAACACCACCGACCTTCCTTTTGCTTCCTATGTTATAGTGGATACCGGAACCCAGCTCATGTTCCGCACCGGCCGCATTTCCTCGTGTGGTGGGGCCCCGCAGCCTTTCCTTTCCTTTCCTTTCCTTCGTCTGCGCCTGGTCCTGTTGAACCGCGCCGAGTCTCGTGCCGCCGCCGGCCCAGGGCGACGATCCAAGGGGCGCTGGGGCCCATCCCCATGAGGGATCGCTTCTTTAGCTCCGTCGCTGGGGCGACATCAGAGCACCTGAGACACCGTGCTAGGGATGCATGCTCCCCGAAGGTTTCCCGGGGGGAGCCGAGACGCCATTTTCTAGGGTCAGGGGAGCTGTTGGGTCCTCGTGTGGGCTGTTCTGGACTGCGGACGATTTCCTTCTTCGGTCGCGCGGGTGGTGGGGTCGGCAGAGGAAAGGGAGTGACCGATGTGGGGTCCCTGTTGGCATAGACCGACGGCAGAAGAGATGAGACGTGCTGAATAGATAGCCAAAAGGAATTCCCTCTAAAAACCATCCTGAAAACTGTATCTACTTCTACACTCCCTCAATCACAGAAGCGGATGGCATATGATGGCATGGCCCCCTGCATGACCATTTTCTGAATACCAAACAGGTGGTTTTCCACTTCCATGACTTTCAGGCAGTGTATCAGTGTATCTCCTTAAGACACAACCGTGGTGTTTTCATGTGCATCGAGAATGCTCACGCCATGCCAAGCCCTTCTCCAGTCGTCCATTCCCACCCCCGTCCGTCCCCGAGCGGAGGGTCCATCCGCGAACCTCGGACTTGACGGCCGAAGAACGCGACTCTCCAAGGATCCCTTGAGTCTCGAGCGCACCCAGTTCATCGCAGCCTCCGCGAGGTGGGCCGTGGACGATCGAGGGGCCCGAGACCGGACACGGACCGAGGGACCCGTGAGACCTTTTTCCCGTGAGACGTGACGCCTGGTCGAGGCTTTCAGGGAAGTGGAATGTATTTTTGGGCTGGAAGGAGGGTAAACCCTCTTTTCGTTGGACTTTGCTACATGCTCATTGGCCGAATCAGCCTTCGATCCATGTGATACTGTAAGCCTTCCTTAAAGGCACAGCACCAATTGTCCATGGGACACCGCAAAGCGTGGTTGTGTTTGAAAGTAGAGGCTTGACCGCCACGACTGTGGTTTTACAGTGCTGCAGATACTTTTGGGTTTCTCACTGTTTCTTGCGGTTTTAGGCATTGGACCAAGATCGCTGCAAAGCCTCTTGCTTGCAGAATCACCCCCCAAGAAACCACTGGAGCACCAGCGCCTTCACCATTCTTGGACTCCCAACGCCACGACACGTTCCGTCGCACCGGCGCAGCGCTGAGCCGCAGCGGTCGCGCCCGTCGAAACTCGCTCGCGAGCTCGCTCGCGCCGGTGGCGGCGGCTGCGGTGACGCGGCCGGGTTGTGAGCCATGCAGAGCTTGTGCATGAAGCGGGCCTCATTGGTGCAAGATCAAGGGCTCTTCAAAGCTGCCAAGGCCTGGCAAGTCTTGTCCACTCTGGCGTGGCCACGCAGCTTCGACCTCGAAGCTCGGCGCTTTTGGACGTCCCGAGGTGATTGAAATCAGCCGGATTTTGGGTGGTGTCAAATTGGCAAGCCAACGGTTGTTCGGCGACCACTTGGTAAAGCCCATTACTGACTGTAAATTAATGGGTCGTTGGAATGCAAGGGCTTGAGGAAGGTGACTTTTCGATGGGTTTAGTAGCCCCACAGCAATCACGTAGGGTCCAGCCACAGCAGAGCAGCGCCCAGGAAAGTGGGTCACCTTAGTCACCTTTTTGGGGGTGGGGAAAAACCTGAAAAAATCAAACCAATCTATGCCAATCAATTGACCCCAGGTCTATTCCACCCCAATCATCTGTACGTACGGGGCATCCAGGCAAACCACGAGGTTGCTGGTAACCAATGGTTCCAAAAACTAAAGCCATCTAAAACCATAGACCTAAACCCTGGTTATAGTGCAAATGGCATCCACTGGAATACACATGCCAGTCCCAGACAGGTCGTGTCAGGGTATTCGTGGTTCATGATGCTTCATGGAGGTGCCACCGTCGGGGTCTCCCTACCAGATCTCACTTCCGCAGCTGCAACGTTGCGACCCCCCCGCAGTAGTGGAGCCCGCCGTGCAACGTCGCAGTAGTGGTGCCCCGGCACCCCCCTTGCACCCTCATTCCAAAAGTCCCAGTCCTCAGCTGAACATCGTCTGAGACCCGTCCTGGCACTTCGGGCACCCGTCCTCTACAGTGAAAGTTGGTCTTCGGTCACCACGACTCCTTGAGAGGACGAGGTCCCTGAAAGCGATTGAAGGGACGGGTCTGTGAAGACTCCGGGGACCATGTTGAGCAAAGGATTCAGTTCTTTTTTTGGACGTGGAGTTCGGTGACCTTCTATGGAAGTAGGTGGAAGGGTAGGTTTTCCGTTTGTTCCCTCACCTCCACGTTGCTGCGAGATTTCAACTCCAAGGAAGTTTATTCGACGCTGCCGACGGTTGGTATGGTGGACATTTTTATCAGCCACTCTTGGTCATGCCCATCTTGGATGAAGTTCCTCGCAATGTGCCAATACTTGAACTTAGACTTTGCCATCAAAGCCTCTGGCCTGACCTGCAGCCTGGCAATTACACTTCTAGTCTTCCGCGCAGGAGGTCTCAGTGCCGTGTCGCAGGCCAGTCAAGGCTGGCTCTATGGCTCCGTCGTTTGTGGCCCCATTGCTGTGTTCTTGGGCACGTACTTCTTAGGCCACACTTGGCGCCACGAATCCTTCTGGTTTGACCGGGTGTGTGTGAACCAAGCGGAACTGGGGGAGAAGGCGAGGACCCTGCAAGGGAGTCCCGGCTTTGCTTTGTTTTGCTGATTTGTTTATTCCACCAACAGCGAAGCTTAGTGGTCTTCAGCCATAGTAAAGACGCAGGTGAGCAGGTTCTGGAGCAAGTTCGGGAGCAGGTTTCGGAGTAAGTTCTGGAGCAAGTTGTGGAGCAATTGTTGGAGAAGGTTGCAGGTTCCGGAGCACAGAGAAGTTTCGGGAGGGTTCGGGGGCCCAGGAGGTTACGAAGGAAGTTCCGGAGCTTCCAAGCCAGTTTTCAGCGCAAGTTCCAGGTTCCCGACCAAGCTTCACACCAATACTGGAGATGTGCTGACTTTGTCATGCCTTAGTGCTGAAATGTCATCATGCTGGCATGTTGTCATTCCGTCTTGCTTCCACGCTCGTCTAGTGCACTGTCACGTCAACATTGAACCATTTTACCACTGGGCCGTGCAAACTAGCCAGTATGCTGTCATGCTAACCTGTTTTCGCTGACATGCTAAGCCGTAGTATTGCCCGAAAAAGAAAGCAAAGCATACCTAAGCAGGAATATGGAGCCTCAAATCTTATCAGATCTTTAAGAGGTCTGTATTCTTTTCTGAAGGTACGGTCCAACTTCAGGTTTGAAACGGCTGTCAATGTGGTCTGCACTTTGTGGTGGCAGATGCTGACATGGTGTCTTGTCACGAAAGCTAGCATCAGCTAGCTGGAGTTGCTCTTGCTTTAGCAAGTCAAGGGCTCGCAGCCTCGAGAATCATGAATCACGTGAAAACTTCACGTGTAGGGGGCCCCCCCCCCCGCGGGTTCAACTCCCCCCTGGGACGCTTCCGGTACGTGCTATAGTGCTATGTTTAGGTGGCAGGTGAAGTAGGCCACTGTTTGAGTTTGGAAGGGGGGGCATGAAACATGAAATTTACGCGAGGGTTCAAGGCTTCAATGATGAGCATCACGGGAAGTCAGAAACCAGGCGTATCAGATACACGTGCCTTTGAGCTTCCTTCGGCATCTCAGTGCATATGGCTGACACTTCACTCGACAAAGATGCTCAAACAAACATACATAAACCAGGTGTATCTGATACGCCTGGTTTGTGACTTCCCGTGATGCTCATGATGCTGCGTTGCTTTTCTTCAGTCCTTCATTACATATACATGACGATCCAACAGCAGATTCAACAAGCTCACATGTTCATGACATCGACATCGATAGAAGAAACCAAACAATTCATGCAAGCAGCTTTGTTTTGCCTCTGGGACACCTCTTGGGCACCTCTTATGGCATCCACACTGGTTCAACTCCTCCGTGGAGGTTTTGGGATACGGTGCAACAGATTCAACAAGCTCACAGGTTCGTGAACACATCGGATGCATCGAACAGTGTGGCAAAGTCCAGCCACGCTTCCTTAATTATCGGGGACTTCAATTCTAAGGTTGGCTGTGTCATTGCTGTTTGTGTGTCTTACATGTTCACAACGTTTTACCTCATGAGCATTTGCCTCACTCCGCTTGATGTCCCACCAGTCCGGATGCACCCCTGCTAGCTTTCGTCACCTACCCTCGGCCTCAAGTTGGCGTGTTGTGTGGGTGTGCGTATATATATGTATAAACAATCTTTAGACAGAATTCCAAAACGTTGTTTTGTACTGTTAGAATATTTTTGAATGTGTTTCATGACTGCATTTCTGTCACGGTCATCTTTTTGTCAGACCCAGATAAGTTTTCAACACGCACATCTTGTTAATTTCCTTTAACACTTACCGACTTGAAACGCCTCTGACCTACTACAACCCATTCTATCCTGATGTTTGGATAAAATGACGCGTGGTCGACCTCTGTTCTTGGATTAAGAACAAAAACAATATACACTTCTATATTTATAAATAGATCATTTCCTTTTTTCATGGGAACATTTAGACACGCTAAAATGTTTGTATGCCGGCTGTCATGCCAACGTGTTCTCAGGCTGTCGCACTGACATGTTGTCATGCTGGCACACTGACATGGGTCACGCTGGCACGCTGACTCGGGTCACGCAGGGATGTTGACGTCAGTCATGCTGTCCTGCTGACATGCTAGCAGGCTCCAGAGCGGGTTCCGGAGCAGGTTCCGTGGTTCTTGCTTGTTGCAAAGCTGTCATGCTTGCGCATATGCGGGCGCACATGTTGCCATGTGGTGATGTTTACATGGCACGTTCAAAAAGGCACAACTGTTTTGCAAAGACACGTTCCTTGTTGGTGAACTTTCCATGGCGCCATGGCCAAATATGCGAATTCATGCTCGACCGTTGGGAATTTTTCTTGGACTTATACTTATCATTAGTTTCCATGGGTGAAACCCCTTCTTGGAAACATATATTTTTTTAAAAGTATTTTGCACATAAAATCTAAGGATCCCGGCATTTGTTGCTCACTCACAGCACATGCTGGTCATTTTGGACAGCTCATATTTTGAGAGACCCTTGGCCCTGCCATAGTTTCATGTTTGGTTCTTGGCCAAGTCGTAGCTCCATGATGCTCTATGTATTTATTTGATCTGTATGAGGTTGAGTACTTGTTTCTTTGTTTCCCCATGTTCCCGACTTTTCAGTATCAATGAGCAAACCAATCAGCTAGTTTTTTGTAAACTCTTAAGTCATAGATTCCGCCGAGCGAAGAACTTTGATTGATCCATGCCTGGGGAGGTTTTATGTAATTTTTGATGCGTTTCACAAACTTTCGGTCCGAAAAGGTTGAAGCACCGACCAACGGGTGGTTACCAATGATGAACTGGTTCAAAGAAGGCCCCCCGGTGTTTGTGCGGAGATGTTTGGGATTCTTGAAGAGAACAGGTGAAACATCAGGAAAGGCCTTGGCTTCGCCATCTCCATGTCAAGGACCCTTTTCATTCCGCTTTTTTCTAAGCTCAAGCGGTCCAACAGAGGTTAGGTGACCCTATAGGACCCGTCACGTGGGGTATCTATAGGATAGTCTATAGGTACTATAGGGTCTTTCATGGTTCTTCAACCTCTGCTGGGTTTCTCTTGCTTCACAGCCCAGGACTGTGGTGCAACTACGAGGTGGCTGTGGCGGCGAAGACAGCGAAGATGGTGCACTTGGTGCCTGTCTGGGAACCTGTGTGCGCTTTGGGGGTTCTGGCTTTAGGCCTGGTCTTCGCTTCTCGGCCGGCACCCAGAACCGAAGGAAACCCCGTTTGGCGCGGAATTGTCAGACGTTGGTTTGGTTTTTGTGGAATGCTTTGGGAAGAACTCTTCCGCGCGGTCGTCTTTCGGTCCGAGAACCAAGTCGACCTTGTTGGCATGTGTATCAAAAAGAAATTAATTACAGAATCAAAAAAAGTAACTATGTAATCAAAAACAAATCAATTAACTAATCAAAAAAATATTTCCTTTCCGTCTCTTGTATGCTTGCTCCTGGTCCACAGGACCTCTTGTATGCTTGCTCCTGGTCCACATGGTCGTCCTGGTCCCCTTGGTCCCCTTGGTCCCCTGGTCCCCTTGGTCCCCTGGTCCCCTTGGCCCCCTGGTCCCCTTAATCCCTGGTCCCCTGGTCGAAGGGAAGTGAAGGAAGGAAAGAAGGGATCAAGGTAGGAAGTGAGGAAGGCAGGAAGGATGGAAGCAAGGCAGCCGAAGAAACAACGTAACAAAGGAAGGACCACAAGGAAAATGAAGAATAGAATTAAACAACAATAAACAAAAGAACCATCAACCATGTTAATGGAGGTGCGTTTTGTTTCGGGATTGTTTTTGTATTTTTTGATTCTGATTTTGCTGTGTTTTTGCTTTTGTTGCTTTTCTGCTTCTGCGTTTTTTTGCTTTTGTTGCTTTTCTGCTTTTGCTGCTTTTCTGCTTCTGCTGTTTTTTTGCTTTTGTTGCTTTTCTACTTTTTGTGTTTTTGTCTTTCTGCTCTTTGCTTTTGTTGCTTTTCTGCTTTGGCAGCTGTTCTCCTTTCTCTTTTTGGTTTTGTTTTTTCCACTTGTTTGCTTTGCAGAGAAGAAACCAAACAAGAAAGTAAGCAAGCAAGCAAACAAACACGAACTGCTCACGTTTGGATCTGGTGTGCTGCTGGGAGGGGCGCTGCTCCCCCCCAACCCCCCCGCGCCACGAAATCTGCACTTCATCTCCGACACCCGCGCCTGCCGCGAAATCAATATTTTAAGGTGAACTCCCCGGTGCAAAAACTTCTAACCAACCAAATACACCTCCTGTGCTAGTTCTCTTTCTCTTTGCTGTTTCTCTGCTAGCTGCACCAAACTATTGTGATAGGTAGGAATTCTCTCACACCTACACTATTCCAATGTATTTTGCCAGCTACGACAGCTCCCGAATTAGTCTAATCAACTAGCAACTAATATGAAACCTGCACTATTCTAATGTATTGGGCCAGCTACGACACCTGTGTCTCTGCTAAGGACACGAAATTGCTGTAATTAGCTAGGTACTAACAAGAAACCCGCTCTATCCCAGAGAGCTCGTGGCAGAATAGTTTTTTTGATTAAGTAGTTAATTTTTAATTGGTCCCATCGAATAGATTGTTTTTGATGCGGTAAATAACTTTTTTGATACTTCACCCGACCGGCCTCTTGTTCAACAGGGGTCGGGTGGGGCGGACGATGCCCAGGTAGTTTGGTTCTAGCACCTTGGAACCCCACCAGCACCTTCCTTCCAGGGCCACAAAGCCCCTGCACTGCCCAAGGGATCTCCATTGGACGCCCCGAAAGGAAGGTCTAGGCAGGATCAGGCAGGTATTTGAGATGCGTGAAACAGCATGTGCAGATCGCCTTCAATTGAGGCCCTGTCGTACTTCGGAACAGAGATTGAGCCCCGTTTGCATGGAGACGAGCGGACGACGCTGGTATGGTCAATGTTAATGTATTACTACTTGGATTGGTTTCAGTG